GTATTGTCACTGGTTTACCGTCGTTTACTAGTAGACAATCTATATACAATGAAACTGGATGGGATTCTCTAGCCCATCGGAGATCCCGTCGAAAACTTCAATTATTTTTTAAAATCCACAATAATATAGCCCCTAACTATCTCAACACTCTACTCCCTTCCCTTGTCGATAACTCTCACTATAATCTTCGAAACGTTGAAAACTACAACCTACCTAACAACAGACTTGAATTATCTAACGTATCCTTTTTTCCTTCTACTGTTAGACTGTGGAACCAGTTACCTACTAGTATACGACGTAGTGCCACGTTCTCATCATTTAGAAACGCCATTCAAGACGTAAACTTGCCGCTTGTACCAAACCCCTTTTTCTATGGTGATAGGAAAAATAATATTTTGCATACAAAATTAAGAAACCGTTCTAGTACTTTGAAAAGTGACCTGTTTCGTGTTAACCTCATTGATTACCAACGTTGTATATGTGGCTTCCCTATTGAAGACACACACCATTTCTTTTTTACCTGTGATATATATAACGAACAAAGAATTAAGCTTTATCGTGAACTGAATGAATACATGCCTCTTAATTTAAATCTACTTCTATTTGGAGATACATCTCTTTCGGAACAGGAAAACATAACGATATTCATGCATACTCAGCAATACATTCGTGACTCTAACAGATTCTAGTACACCCCCTCCCCCTTGTCCCCTCTCTCTCCCTCTCTCTCAATTGAACCATAATATCCACTCTCTCTAAGAGGAAGATACTATATGTCATACATTAATAATGATGAGGATGTATGTATTATAATTACAGACTATTATCCCCCCTGTCTCTTCCCCTCCCCCCTTTTCTCTCTCTGTCTCTCTCTTATAATTTCAATTTATAAATTAAAGCATTTAAAAATGAAATAGTGTATATATGTAAATTAATTCTGCCATCTTGTTGTACTATTGTAAATATATGCTTGTAATTTGCTAGGAAAGGGCTTAATATAAGTTTGATAACTTGTGCCCAATCCATTTGCTTGGCAATAAAATATGTTTAAACTAAATTAATAATGTTGTAAAAACTTGTGCCCGATCCTATTGCTTTAATAAAAAAAAACTAATTTTGCCGACTGGAAGTAGCCGTCATATATGTCCTTTTCTAGCACCTCAGACAGAGATATCCCACGTCATACCCCATGCTAGATTTTTCTATCTCGTCCGATCTGTCTTGTACCTTTACGTGACATTCCGCGGAATTTTTACACTGCGATGTATTCATCTGCGCGTTAACTGCTTGAAAATGACAATTTGCATTATAAATGTCCTGTTTTGTCGTTATATGTATAGTTTTGATGTTGTTAGATATTTGATTTTGTAGAAGAAAAAAATCTACACTGTGAAACACGTTGTAATCTATGTAAGGGCGGACTACACTTTTACGGGGTAGCATTCAAATGTAGCGTTAGTAGTGAAGAGGTCATTATCATTTGAGGCCCAAGGCGGGATACTTGTAGTTTTCACCAAAAATCAATTACCTGTAACTGAGCGAGATCGGGTTATCTCAGTCTCGGGCTAAGATTATGTAACATCCCAACCTCGACTTACGCATCGGTTGGGATTTTGTTACAGAATCTTTACTCTTACCTTAAATATTATATTATTCTCGAATTCGATTCGGTGTTCAAAGAAAGACAACTCGAATACATTAAAAAGAAATTCTTCACGGCGGCCTACACAAACAAATGCTTAGTAATGGTAAGAGATCTTTCCGATTTGCTGCTTCCCAGGTGAAGAACAGCCTACCAAATGAACTCCGATTAGCTGAAAATTATAAGTCGTTTCGTGGGCTGCTCCGCACCTGGAACAAAAATGTCTGCTCATGTGCAATCTGCACACACCATATAGTGTGAGTTGTCCCCCTTTGGAATCTACCTACATGTTTTATACTACAACTAGTTAATTTCACTGTTGCTTGTGTTATTTAATTTAAAATACTTCAGTAATATACTTATTATATAATTGATATTTGTTTCAGATTTGAGCTCCATTATTTAAAAGATCATTGCTTTTTTACAATATCATAATTATAGCTCTGTTTGTATTTATGACTTAATTGTCTCTTTTTAATTCACACTGTATTAGTGTATATCCTGTAAATTTTTACACTTTGCTACATTAGTATATATGTACATTACATCAGAGACGTATACGTCTCTGATTACATTAGTAAAGTGTCTTAACTTGTCTTTTGTAACACTTGTGTGACATTCAAGTGTGATATCATATGCTCTACTGTATAATTTTAGCATATCTAATTTGAATTGTTGTCCTGTTTTTATATTTATATATATTCATAAGTACTGTGATCCTTGTTAAATTTTATATATGTTTTGTCGCAAGAATGGCACCATGTACAGTGCTAATGTTAATATGTTACATGTGTATGTGACGTTAAATAAAGCTTCTTGACTCATGACTCTCTTGAACTCTGGCAATTTCAACTTGAGTAGGTTCTTTGATCGATAAATCAATTATCAAAATAATTGTTTCTAAAATTGCACATTTTTTACTGGGTTTTTTTTCAATATGTCAACTTACGCAATAATTTGATAAATGTATTTTGTTTATTTAGAATCAGTTCTATTGATATAATTTTTTGTGTAGTCTATATAATATCAAAGATAATACTTTCGCTCAGTTTCGCTCAATTGACATCAATGGTAAGCCGGGGCTTGTATACGTCTCTGATAATATCGAATATTTAATAATTAATATTTGTATTTGAAAACATGTTAATTGGGCTTTCCACTCTTGCCTCTGTGTTTCACCTTTTCCAACCACGGAATTAGATAAGATTGTTAGGCTAAGTCTGTGTTCCAACAAAGAGCAAGATTTGTTAAACGTCAGCAGGGACGTATAGTGAAGGGGATTAGCAACTCCCTCTTTGCCTTACCAATTTTATGACACGTCAATCTAGACTTACCTCCCCCTGATTCAGGAGCAGATAGCGAGCGCCACCTATCTCAATTTTGACAAACCAAGATGGCGTCGATACCGCTTCGTTAGATTACAGAAGTTGGCGTGAAAACAAACCAATCGCGATAAGTGTTCTTACCTCTTTTGTTTATCCCATTGTTATAAGCTGATTGTATTACTTATAATTGATAAAATCTGTGGTATCATATTAATTGATGTCTCGTTTTTGGGGTATATTTTTCTATTTTTAAACGCGATGTAACGCGTGGTTCAGAGTATTGTGGTGGGCGTCGATAGACAAAAATGCGGGATAAAAAAAACCCACATGTATGTGAACCACCTCACTCCAAAAGTATTTGACCGATCTTTTTTAAATTAGCAGCAATAGAAAGCTGAATATTTTTTATAACGACCCAACCTATTTTAATTGCAAATAATATAATTTAACTTGTGTTATTTTTGTGTCAAAAAGAGTAAATATCAGCATTATTTTTCACTGGAACGTAAATCATTATTGCGAAAGTAGTTGGTGACTGCTCACTGTTTTGATTAAATTTTATAAACTATCGTTTATATTTTTTAAAACAATTAATATCAATAAACAGCTGAGTAATTTCTATGTTAAGTAGGCCTGATTTGATTTGCATTACTTGGAACTATAGCGATGTCACAGATGAAATTACTCGTCTGGTAACGAAGGACACGTGTTGTTAAAAACCGTAAACAAAAATGCGGGATAAAAAAACCCCCATATTTGTGAACCACCTCACTCCAAAAATATTTGACTGATCTTTTTTAAATTAGCAGCAATAGAAAGCTGAATAATTTTTATAACGACCCAACCCATTTTAATTGCAAATAATATAATTTAACTTGTGTTATTTTTGTGTCAAAAGTGTAAATATCAGCATTATTTTTCACTGGAACGTAAATCATCATTGCGAAAGTAGTTGGTGACTGCTCACTGTTTTGATTAATTTTATAAACTATCGTTTATTTTTTTTAAAACAATTAATATCAATAAACAGCCGAGTAATTTCTATGTTAAGTAGGCCTGATTTGATTTGCATTACTTGGAACGATAGCGATGTCACAGATGAAATTACTCGTCTGGTAGCGAAGGACACGTGTTGTTAAAAAACGGAAATGTTAAACCCAACAAAAAAGTATCGCCTGCAGTCGGGGATCAGCTCATTTCAAAAATACTTCATTTTGAAATTTACAGCGATAGAAAGTTGAATAATTTTTTGATATGTAGTACTAATTTTTATGGCAAAAAATAACAAATAACTTGTGCTGTTTTTGTGTCAAAAAGTGTCAATATTAGCATTATTTTCACTGGAACGTGCTTTACGAAATGTGATTTGTTGTAATAGCCACCAACACAGCCGAAAGGCTAGACATAGTGGCAACGATAGCCCTATCCCTGGAATAAAAAGAAGACCTACTAATACACAGTCCCAATCAGGGCTAACCGTTATCAAAACACTCCCATCTCGGCGAGATTGGTGACATGATTTTAACGCTAGTGCGCAAGCGCGGGCTGATCGAGAGGGGCTCTCGATGACTTCGCGGTTCGGTGAACAAACACAAAAGCGACGTGCTATAGAATCTTGACTGGGGCAGAGCACAGGTAATAGACACAACATATCCTATGCCTATATTATATCCTATGCCTATATTCTAATATGTAATTAGTACTAATTACATATTAGAATATAGGCATAGGATATGTTGTGTCTATTACCTGTGGGGCAGAGTTGCCAATCCCCTCTATATACTGTCCCTGACGTCAGGTACTGGCTTTATATGTCTCTGTCCTAATCAATCTGAAAATGTTTGTGTTTGGGGGGATTTAGAAGCCAAGAACACATGGACCTGATAATTTGTTACAGCACGGACTTAGATAACAATCTAATTTCGTGGTTACAGCTATGAAGCCTGCCTACATAGATTAACCGATTGAATTTGCCGCTGAATGACAGAATGTTGCACTAAACTCAGAACGAGGTTAATAACAAAATAAATTGCCGCTCTTCGCACAAGGTAGGTAAGATTACCGTTCAAAGCAAGTGCCAGAAGATAGCGTTTGGATTTGTCGGACGTAAACACGAAGCCATTTCACAACATCCAGAAATTGAGGTAAGTGGTGAAATAACAGCCCATGGGTTATTTATAGATTTGTGGTATGTATATATTAGTTCCAACAAACTGAAAGCTTATATTATTCCAAACTAGTAACCTGTGAAAACAGATCGTTGATACTGCTTAGATAAATTTGGAACGTAAAATTAGGCTAAAACATCCCAACCTTATCGGGGTAACTGAACATTCAATCATAAGTTTTAACGCGGGGATTGATATTGTCACTTTAGCGAACAATAATTTAATGGAAGAACTTGATATTTCGAATAATCATTTCTATAGCAGACAACAGTTGGGTCCAGCCATGTCTTCCCCGTGGGGTAAAGTGACCAGTGCCCCAGTGGCGCCGTGTTCCCTCGAAGAGGTCATGAGTGAACAGCTGGCAGCCGACCTACAAGCGAAAGCCGATTTGACGGAATGGGAATTCATTAGGTAATATAAAACGATATGGATGTATAATCATTAGGTAATATCAAAGGTGTTGGGATTGATTGAAAATATCCTGCAGAGAAAAGTTCCCCAAATAACTCCTAGCCCGAGTTTCCTATGGCCCTGACACCAGACTTAGACATTTTGACAGATAGATGTCTGATCACACCTATCTATCAAAATGTCTAAATCTGATGTCAGCGCCAGAGGAAACTTGGGCTAACTGTCTCCTAAAAAATATGTGTTTGGGCTAAGAGAACGTCGGAACAGCCTCCCTAGTCATAGTCTCACTGGGTTTGGTATTCATATTATAACGGAGTGTGTCTACAGCATTTCCAAACATGGATAGGTTATATATTTATCTTTGCCAATGTACAAATACAAACGTCAAAATCATTTCTTACTACAGTATAACAGTAGTTATCAGCTTTCTGAAGAGCCAAGTACATGTAGCTGTTTGTGATAATATTTTGCCATAACTTGCAAAGTGGCAGGCATAGAGTTGCAAAGTTTGTAAAAAGAAAGTTCCTTGGCATATTTTCAAGGTCACAGGAGTCAAATTTGTTATTACTCTTTTTATGTAGAAGCCTCTTAAAACAAGATATACAGGCCCTCTTGGCCTGTTGTTCGTTTCTAATGTTCTATTGTACAACTGGTAATAATAATACATGTGTAGCAGTGGTGGATTTTGAAGATTAAACACATCAACAAACACTGGTGTTAGAGTTCCGATTTATTGTGTGTTGTCACCTGACACAAATTCCATCAACATAAATAAATTTCCCCATTTGTGGTACAGTGCCATTATTCTGAGGCTTTTACATATAATCATATTTTCTGTTTTGTCTTGACTGCTTCGTCAAAACATCATTCAGTATCTGACAAATATTGCGCCAAAAAAACGATCACACAAAGAAAACAAGTAAAACCTTGACCGTTGGCTAACCCAAGGGTGACAACAGGATAACTTACAAAACTGACCAATGATAAAAAAACATATGAACGAAATCTATCCAGGAGGCCAGAATAAGGAAAATAACTATACCACAGAGATGAAGATTGTTAGTTCTATATCAGAACATATGTATTATATATACGGTAATATAATATTAAAACATACATATATCACAGATATCTTCTCTGCCGCACATGAACTGATGACCAGTGCAGAGAAATGAATTTAAAGTAAGACTGGATCTATTTAACATTACAGTGGAGCGGAGGTAGACCCAGAGATAAATTTAGTCACACTGACTGCAGGAATGAGCTCAGAAGAAACTAAGAATGACCAGATGCTGGCCCAGATACTACAGATGGAGTTTGATAAAGAGTATGACAAGGAGGTCAAGGCCAAAGAGAAGAAGTACAATGGGGAAAGTAAAGGTATGATATATCATTTGTTTCATAGGATCTTTGTTCTTGATTCTAAATCATCACTTTTTATATTTTTGCCTAAAGATATCATTCAAATATTGTGTGCACACTGAATAAGTATTGTTTGAACATGGTTAAATGTATTATTTTAAGATATTTGAACAGTAATATATCATCTTGTCTGTTTTCAGTTTCATTATCCTTTGAAAACTACAGAACACTGCATCCAGCTTATCGGGACGATGAAGATGAGATTGTTCCCCAATTGGATGACGATTATGAAGTGGAAATGAAATGGGGTAAGATATCAGCTTATCTTTGTAAATTATTGAAAGATTTAGAACGAGAATCCATTAACTCTGTAATTTTCTGTTTTACCAAAACAATTTGAACTTTGTTATCAACAAGAAAGAAGGCACTGAATTTCTAAGTTAATCAGATGTATGTTTTATTATAGACAAAAAAACACCGACATTTAACCACCAAGGTGTATCAGGAAAGGGCAAAGACATGATTACAAAGCACGACTCATCTGTATGTGGACGGAGAAATGCATCCAGAATGATGGAGGTAATGTGATGATCAATCGCCTCAGGAAATAGTTAATGTCAAGGGGGAACATTAAAGTGCTATTTCCCAAAATACCTATAAAAAAGCTGTTTTATTATACCAGCAACAAAATGGAGATGTTCCAAAGGAACATGACAAACACAATGTCCAATCAGAATGAACGAAGCCAAAAATTCAGCGCAAATTGAATGCAGGTTTAATAGCTCATTCCGGGTAAATAGCTCTAATGATTATTTACCTGGTAAAGGGTTTCTTGAAAGAGTTTATTTTGAATAGCATTTCTATTTTCTTCTTTTATAACGCGTAAAAAAGAAGAAATTCATAATAATTATTTTTATTTTGTGATACAGGTCTGTATGATCCTCTACACTGGACTCCAACATATTAAAACAAACCCAGATGTGTAGTCATATAGGAAAGTTTGGTTATGGACGTCACATGTTTTACAAAGTATGTTAGTGGAGGCACTGTAGTCTAACGGTAGGATGCCGGGCTCATGAAAAAAGGGTTGCAGGTTCAAGTCAAGTCGCAGCACTGTGTTGCATCTTTGAGCAAGATACTTTACATCCACTTGTTCCAGTCTTACCTGTAAATGAGTACGTGGTTGGGTAGTGCTAGAATTGTAGAATGCTAGCTGTGAGTGCCGAAATGGCAGCACCAGCTGTATGCTCACCATGGAGTTGAGAAAGATGTTGGCTGGTTGCAAAGGCCCTATAACCACAGATAATAATTTGTGAACCACTTTGAGACGACCTATGAACTAGGTTGTGATAAAGTGGTACATAAGAACCTCAAATTAATATTATTATTAGCTCTGTAATTATATTTAAGTTCCTAATTAATCCAATGTTTATCAAGTCTATTTTTAAATATGTAAAAAATGTAATATTTTGATGGTAAAAATCACATTCTTAACAATTAACATATCTCATGGAATCTGCATTTCTTAAGCTTATGACTGTGTCTGTAAGCATTTCTTAAGCTTATGACTGTGTCTGTAAAATTTGCATGGCGAATGTAGGATCTTTATTATTTGAAACAAGTCTTCAGATTTATTGTTTTAGTGTGCTCTGAAAAAAATGATTTCAGATACTTAATAACAGAACAATTCTCAACATTAATTGGATTTGATAGAGAAAATGTTGTATTGGTTAGAAAAAACGCTAAAAAGAAACATGAAAACCTTGTTATAGTGCCAACATTGTCTCACTGCAGAGGGGTAAGCAGTATATCGAGGAATACATATAAAACACTAAAGAAAAAAGAGACCATGATATAAAATGGCAATAATGAAGGAGACAACTGGACAAATTCTGCCATCTACAATTATGTAGGCTCAATATATGTTGCTTCCAAGTAAAGTCATATATGAAAGGTTGTGATGTCATTCCATTATCATGTTTGGATGTCGTGATATATTAATTACAACCAGCAATCTGTATTAAATTGGTGTACAATCGAAATAGCATGGTTTTCATGTGATAAAAAAAAAAAAAAATCATCATCATACAGTAACTGAATCAATATACCACTCATGGAAATTTTATGTATGCAGCAAGATATGAGTCACAGACATTTTATGAATACAGCTTAGTCAATTTAAGGTTAATACTATATGATAGTGGTGACAAGATAAAAGATCAGCTAGACTGTATATATTGTGAGTTGTGATTGTATGAACGATTAACCCTCGTAATTGGTTGTAGTTTCCACCCGAGTTTGAAGTTGGAGATGGTGAAGGCATGGACATGAAGTTACCCAATCATGTGTATAATAAACTTAAACTCCACTCCATCGCAGAAAACAAAAGGAGCCAAAGACTTCACGAGAAAAAGGAATTCTCCACCGCAGTAAGTGAAGAATAATTCAACCAGGAACCGATGTCATTGGCCAATCTTTTCATTATGAAATGTTATGTGACAGTGCTTTGCACTGGTCTCAAACTATGGCTCTTGTTTCATTGTAAGGAAGCAGGAATTCGGTTAAATGTTATTGTCGAAAAAGGTCCCCAATCTCTTAAAGGCTGTTGATCATGTTCATATTTAAACTCTTCTTAAGTAGTTTTCTTATTGATAAAGACACTCAGTAAACCTCATGTCTTTATACAATTTTAATATAAACTAGCTAAAGTTTGATAAACATGATCACCAAACAGCACATGTTAAGAGACCTCTTTATACATTGTGTGAGATAATATCTTGCCTGTTCAATTAACAATGTCAAGGTCATTTGGAAATGTTATATTTTTAATTCCATTTTGAAGTAGGGCAAAAGTTTGACCTGAAATCATATTAATATTCTTTGGTATGACAAAATTATTGAGGTGAAAAAGCAAAAATGGACCCTTTGCATATTTCTTGAATTATGTATTTTAAAAATTTCTGTATATAATAAATAATAATTGAAAATTTCCCTGTAACAGGAACAAGCCATGGATCCACGTACACGCCTGATGCTGTACAAAATGGTCAACAGTCTTGTCCTCGATTCCATCAGTGGCAGCATCAGTACAGGAAAGGAATCGGTCGTCTTTCACGCCTTTGGTGGAGAGTAAGTTATCTCTTTTCTCTTTTGTAATTTATGATGTTGGCAGTTGATGTGACCAATTTGTCCCCCTTTCCTCGTTGGCACATTTTGACCCCTTAGTGTTGATCCTATGGGGCACCTTTATCTCACGAACTGCTATTGCTAATTTGAACACCACTTCGTAATGTTGAAATTATGTAGTCAGATTTTCATTCCGTAAAATTTCTACGATACTGTTATCTCAATCACAAAGCTTATGCATTTGCTGGATGAAGTTTTAAGTAATATTTGTTCATGAATAAATCCATAAATAAAAACATTACATCTTTGATATATATGGCCATTTTACAATATGGATAAAATATATAACATGGTATTAAATAAATAAATGCTGCTTTATTGATAGGATCGCTGGTGAAGCAATGCCAAAAGAAGTTGCAATCAAAGTGTTCAAAACTACCCTCAATGAGTTCAAGAACAGGGAGAAATATATCCATGGAGACCACAGATTCTCCAAAGACGATTTCAAGAAACAAAATCCTAGAAAAATCATCAAAATGTGGGCAATGAAGGAGACAGCTAACCTCAACAGGTATTTCAGAGAATATTGTGTACTATTTGAATACATATAGGATACTGTAATGTGGGACATGTTTGTTTCAATTTAATTTTCTCCTTTTTCACATAAGTGTGTGACAAAGTTTTACACATACGTAGACACATGAATGTAATTTTAGTGTTCTACTCAATGAAAGAAAAGACATCAATTACTCACTGCATTGATGAGGTGTGGTTGTTTTTCCAGATTATATTGAGTTTTGACCCACTTGAAGTTGACTAAAGAGTATATTTTGATTTTCAGAATGAAGAAATTTGGCTTACCCTGTCCAGTTGTACAGGTTCAGAAAATGCACGTTCTTGTTATGTCATTTATTGGCGAGGACCAAAAACCAGCTCCCAAACTAAAAGATGCTCTCATGTCTGGTGCGGATCTAGAGGATGCTTACAACCAAACACTTGAGGTATTTAAACTTAGGTTTATATAGTTGGTAAACAGATTTTCATATTTTCTTACTATGTTAAGAGAATGTTAATAGTTGGCCTCACTGAATTAAGGTGTATATAGTTATCCGATTGTTAGTGCTTCTCCAAGCAGTCTTCTGTAGTAAAAAGCATGTGCAAAAGTTTGTGTATATGTAAATCACATTTATGCCATATTTACACCAGAAAATGGTGACATCAAGTTCTATACTTGAATACATGTTGGGTGGTGAATGTTCAAGCTTGAAGGGTCAAAGGTCACACTTAACCACTTTGACATGAACAACTACTAGATTTCCCAAAGACTTACAGGGGAACTGTTTTCTCTCATTTCCGTGCTTGTAAGATAGAGCTGTCCAGGGTATGAAAGGGGTGTAAGAAATTTCTATCTTACACCCCATTTCACGTGACGTGACATCACAATGGCTCAACAATGATGTGACCTCACGAATTTGGAAAACTCTTGTGCCGCAATACAAAAAAGGCGACGTAATGTTCAAAATTAAAACCTTTTAGGATATATTTACCATTCTTGTTAGAAAGATGAAATTATTATTTTTTCCTGTGCAAACTCTGTTTGCGAATATGGGGTATGCTTAGTCTCACTGATAGATTCATTTTTCGTCAAAAAAGCTCAGAGGAAAAGTTGATATTTTCAAAATAGTACCCAGTTCAAACGCATTTTCATGGTTCCTGAACTTATTCTGGTAGTTGGAATGAGAGAAAAATGCTCTTTCATTCCCAGGGAAGTAGGATAGGGAAATTCCACCCTCAGGCTTTTCAAATTTAGAAAAGCCTTGGGTTTTACCAAATTTCAAAACCCCCTCGGGTGGAATTTCCCTATTCTACACCCCTGGGCATGAAAGAGTCTTATAATCTTCTTTGTAGACTCAACTTTAGAACTATATCCCCCTGTGGTCCAACAGTTTTGTCAATTGATTCTCTATAGAATTATTTTTGTGGTTCATATATATATATATATGTATGGCTCTGTTTTAGATAATATGATTGTTTCCCTTCCAACAGTTTATGAAGACGATGCAGCACAAATGTAACTTGGTTCATGCTGATCTGAGTGAATACAACATGCTGTGGTGGAAAGATAAAGTCTGGGTGATCGACGTCAGCCAAGCTGTTGACACCACACATCCACTAGCTATGGAGTTTTTACACAGGGACTGTACTAATGTCTCTAAAGTAAGTAACATTATTGATAAAAAAATACTGTATATCGGGAAATTTCCTCCGCAGATTACCTTTAGCCAGTTTTGCCATCATGAATTTATCATTACAGCAGACATTAGTAAACATCATAATATGTATAGTAATGACATATATTACCAATATCTTGCTTAAATATCCATGGTCAATGAAAAGAGGTTCTTATATGATAGCAGTGTACATGGTGAATTGTGTTAGGCCTAAAATAAAATATTGTTTGTTTCCCCTTTACCTACCTACCTACCCACCAAAATATCCCTACCCAAAATATTTTTATTGACATTTTCCTCTTTTTTTTTTACTTGTTTAAAAAAAGGAATCATACTTGTACTACTGGTATTCTGTTTGAATTTTGAGTTACTTCTTACTGCATAAATAAAAATGAAATTGAAAAATATAATAATTTCCCTACCTACCCACGATTTTATGATTTGGGTCGATAAAGGGGAAACAAACAATAATTTAATGTAGGCCTTACAAGTACTTATGAACTGGATGTTTATTTTCACTTAACTGTATAATGCCAATGCCAGGCTCGCGTCTGAACACGAATTGTTCCATCATTTGTGTGTTAATGAGGCCATATGTGCCTCCTTTGAAACACCTCATATCTTAATATAATTTTTCATTAAATTTTTTGAATGGTTGTAAACTGTCAATGACATGCCAATATTAAATATGGATGGAATATTGATATATTTTGATAGGTAATTCAGGCACTTCATAAATTCAGACAGGTTGATGTTTTCCAGATATATTTCACTTTATTTATATAGTTATACTTGTTTGCTTGTTTAGAATTATTAACTCATTCACCCCTGAAATTTCAAAATGAACTATTTCAACCTTTGAATTGGAGGAGTTCTAATGTGTCTTTAGGGGTAAATGAGTAAAATAATTGTATTATGTTACATTTGTTGTAACTTGTAGAACTCATGAATAATTGATGATGCATAATGGATGTGATAGGCTTTACAGTGTATTTCTATTTTTGACTTTATTACTAATTTCATGTTTCTTTCTTTCAGTTTTTCCATTCTGGAGGTGTGCACAAAGTAATGTCACCAGAGGAGATGTTTAATCATGTGACTGGATTAGATATCTCTGGTGAGGGTGCTGATTTTATCTCTCAGGTACGACGCTACGACACAGAAAAATCAGAGGAATATCTTCTCTGTCCAACAACGGATCGCAAGCATTTTGCATTTGACTTTTTTTTCGACAAATCCCAACAGGAGAGGCAAGAAGCTCTAAAAGAAGTTGGATTTTCTGATAGTGAAGAAGAGGATATTGAAAAGGAAGAGAACTAAGCATCATTTAGAAGAGAAAAATAGAAAATTCGAAAGTTTGACATGCACAAGGATCTTTTTTATCAGTATTAACCAGAGAATGGACTTTGTTAAATTTTAACGCAACAGTGAACTCATTGTTAAAGCCATCTTGATGAGCTAGATTTTATTTAAAGGACTTTGTGCAGAAGGAATTTTAGTGTCAATGACAAGTGATAAAGGCAGTCCATGCACATGTAGATTCAACCAGTAGCATGCTTTATTTCTACACAGGGAAATGTGATCCAACATCCACCAGTGAATGTTCAGTGAATTTCTGCCAGTGCGATATTCATGATGGCAATATTTAAACACATCTATCTATCTATGTTTATCAGAATATTTGAATTTTTCAAATTCTCGCTACAATTTACCATTAATTAGGATATTTTTACTGTGGTAATATTTTTGCGCAAGATTCAAATTCACAAAAAATCAAACATGTAAAAAATAATCAACTGTAAAAAAATAATCCTCAAAATATCTTAATCACCGTGATTACCTGAATTGTGTGAACAAAAGCTGGCAAAGTCTTAGCCTGGGCGATTATCTAGAAGGTTCTATTGTAGTAGTGTAGGGTGTATAAGCCTGCGGCGATTATCTAGAAGGTTCTACTGTTGTATTGTAGGGTGTATAAGCCTGGAGCGATTATCTAGAAGGTTCTATTGTTGTAGTGTAGGGTGGATAGGTTAGTGTTTTCCTTTAAATAATTGTCATAAACACAGTTGACGCAAAGATTGAATTATTTCTGTATACACCTTGCCACTATCTCGGAAATGCAACTCGCATAAAAATTATTAGAGGAATATTTTCACAGTAGTAGTATTTTTGCAAATAGTCCCAATTTGCAAAAAAAAAATATGTGTAAATATTAAAACTACAGGTTTTTTCGCAAAATTTGCAATAATTAACCCACTTAAAATATTCCGATTTACAGCATGTAATTTTCAGATAGAGATGTTATTTCTCTGTGCTTTGCTGTATATTTGAACCCATTAAATGATCATTATAAAAATTGTGAAGGAGGTTGAATTGGTGCTTCAGTTGTTAATTGAATCTTTTGTTGCTTAATCACACTTTACAGTCCAGGAATGAACAGACTTTAATTTAGACATTCTCTGTGGCAATGTGACCTAGATAGTCTAATGAAAAATATTGAATGTATTTTTGTAATTCTGTTTATAAGCAGAAGACAGTAAATTATCCTGGTATGATTTTTTTCCCAGTTTTATCTATATAAGGTGTCTAGGTTGAGTAAGATTTGTAAGACTTTATACCGATATGGAGTGTGTGTTTAATGGTATTTTACTGGGGAGCATACAAAGACGTTGTATGGTATGAAACAGAATCAAGTCGGATACTTTGATGTTGCTTGTTCATTGTAAAATGTTGTACAATGTTCTGGAATTCATATTTATTTGATTAAATGAAATATAAAACTATTCCAGTTTATAACTTCTTTGTTTTTATTTCATTCAGAAGCGAAGACATTGTTTTGTTGTCTTTCAAGATTGTGTCACAGTACTTTTATATCAGAGGGGGGCGNGGGGGGGGGGGGGGGGGGGGGTAGGTACATCTGTTTATGATGAAATATCGTATGAGGATCCACTTCGTCGGTACTTGTGCCTGCATTATAACTGGTGAATCAGAAAAACAAAATGGTCACCATTGTATGTAAAGTTTGTTAGTCCTTCACCGGTCCTGGGTGGCTGGGAACTACAGGTTTGCACTCCTTCCTTCCGTCTGTCAAAAGTTTGTCCAGGGCATATCTTTACTATGTCGCCTGGAGAAACCAGATTTGGTATGCAAGTACATCTTAGCATGCTGTAGTGTCAAGTACAAAAAGTAGGTCATTGTGACCTATGGATTAAACTTATATTTTGTAAAAAATTGTCTGGGGTTTACCTCTAAAAAACTTCACCTGAAGTAACCATATTTGGCTTGCAAGTGCATCCTGGAATGCGAAGTACAAGAAGTATGTCACCATGAACTATATCCTGAGATGGGTGTACATCTCGGTAAATAAAGAGATCACTACTGGTGAGGGAAATGTGGATAGCCATGCACCCCTTGTTACTGCAAGTTTTTGACAGTATAATTGAGGGATTATGATTGTAGGCTTAGATGTGCATGCTGAAATTCGAGATGGATTGGAAAATCTAGATTAGAAAATATCCCTCAAAGATCGTGTTGCAACTTGGTTTGCAGGATCCATTTGGTACCTGTACATGCTTGTTCAAGAAGAGAGCGGAGGAAAAAACACATATACTAGCGACATTCTGTTGTCTTTACATGGTGTGCTACTCTACGTTCCTCTGAGATATCGTATTAGCTGATCTGACAAAGTGTATGCTACAGCACGGCATCTGTCCGTCAGGCTATGTGAGGAGTTTTCTGATTGCTAGTATGATGTTTATTGTCTTTTTACTTTTCATGTGGCTTTTAATTGACCCTTGGAATTGTGCGATTTAAGAAGACTAATAACTTCCCAGAAATTTGAAGGATCAATATACATGTCAAATAATCAAAGCTGATTTAGGTCAAAATCACACCCGCAATGGTCTTCTGAAAACCACTTTTTCATGGTTAACGTCTAAATATGGCCAACAATTTTCACGGAATGCCCCTCTTAGTGATCAAATGGTGATATTTTGGTCGATTTAACGTCGAAGATATTCATCCTTGCATCTTGATTTGCAGAGACATTTTCGACTTCTTTTGGATATCAACTCGAAATATCCAATTATTATCAGAAGCAACGGTCCGGTCACGACCCTTGACGATTGATGACATTGTTTCTGACAGAATGGAAATCCAAGAATGCCGCAGTGGCCTCGAAATAGCTGACAATCGTTGCCTTCTAAAATTTCAGCAACCGATTGTAACGGGGTAGAAATGTGCCACTCGGTCATAACGCCGATCGTAATCAAAGTTTGTACAAATTACCAACTGAAAACACCGTAACGGTGTGGTGATATCGTTTTGGCCGATTCGAAACCCAAGTCTCAGATACATAACTGTCATGTCTGCTGATTTGGCAAAGACTATTTTAGCTTTTCATTAAGTTCCGTTTTGCCAATTTTAACCACTTATAATTGGTACAAATAATCAACTCAACTGACGTCGACATAGTGGGGATATTGTCAAAATTTTAGGTTGACGGCTAAACCTCTATGGTCTTTCAGTTATCTTACTGATAGGATTTGTAGACCATAGTGTGTTAGTAACTTTTGCTAATAACCACAAGTTTTTTTGTTCATGATAGTTAGCAGATATCCTCAGGGGTGATGGGCCATCAAGTTTGTCAAGTCAGGATTACCACTTTCGATATCACTAATGTGAAAATAGTTTTAAAAAGCATCAAACGACACACAAGCCAGTATTACCATTTCATTTCCGTATACTTATATAACTTAGCTAGTAGTATATTGGTGTTTGACATGAGCGTGCTGTGACTATGTTCTATTTTATTGTTTATTTGAAATCAATTAACCAGTACTCCTCTAACCTTTGAAATCTACACTTCTGTTTCAGCAGTAGTTTAGACCACCCTTTTGTCCCCTAGCATCACCGTTGAGTCTAAGAAAGTCGAAACAGCAGTAGGATGCAGTGTTATCTTTTTTGGACACATTGTATGAGTTACTAGATTTTAAAAGTGCAATCACAGATGCGTGTGTTACGTCCATGTTGCAAGATACACGGGGTTCCCCAGTACTTCTCTTATTTTTGAAATTCATAATTTGAGGGGTTTTACACACCTGCCCTTCAGTTTCAACAGTAGTTAAAACCAATTTGGATTTCCAACTGTTTTTCATTTATAATTGTTTATTTTTATTTGTAAAAGGATCAATGCAACATTTGGTTTCGTTCACAAATTCATTGTAACGAGAAACTGTTATATACACTTATCGATACCTAATGGTATTTTCCAGCACAGGTTCCATTCTGGACGGGACTCGCATGTGTAAATATTATATACTTTATATCTTAACGCTATCGGAGTATCAACACATCCGGTTAGGATAAACTTCAGTAACCACTTTAGATGTGGAGAGGGAGGTCCACGTTTTATTACTCTTAAATACAGTAGATAAATATAATAATAATCTTTGTTAATATTAGTCTCAGTAGGACAAGCTTCCAGAAAACATCCTCATTTTCTAATTATAACGTATAAATAAACCTGACATGGTAGTAATATTAAGAGTATGATAAAGCAAGGTAAGAACCATCAGAGTGGTGAGTAACAAGACATTAATTTTAATTATTCTGACTTAACAATAAAAAATAGATGTTGTTATGGTAACCTGGACATACATCATGAAACCTGACAAAATCGAAACATGACTTAATAGCATTCTGTAACAGTTGATATGATTATTCATTGCAGCCCGGGACAACACTGTCTAGAAATGATTGGTATAGAGCTGTCATTAAGATAACCAGTCTGGCTAAAAATTCGTCTTCGATACATCTTACTCCTCCTCTTTGGTTCTATAGAGGAAAGCTGAACAAATAATTAACCTAAAATAGACCCCTAACTTTTCTGCAAAGGGTAATTAAGAATTTTATAGATGCCACATAATGACGTTATTATTATATGACGTCATTTGCCGTGAAAATCTTCTTCCAGTCTGACAGCAGTTTCTTCTTGATGTTGATAAAGCAATTTATTTTGTTAAGTTAACTAGATATAGAAGACCTAGCAAGGGTCCTCGACGCAGTAAGTCCAAAAGATAACCAGTCTGGCTACAAATTCGTCTTCGATACATCTTACTCATCCTCTTTGATACTATAGAGGAAAGCTGAACAAATAAGGAACCTAAAATACAGATGTTTTTAATACTATAATAGGATAGACTCTTTCGTTGAAATCGCTGTCAGTTTATCAGACTCGGAGCTTTCTTCAGTATTTTGAACTGTTTTGGGACATTGCGACTAGGAACGACATTTCCTCGAAGAGACTGTAACTGGGAAGTTGGAACATTGGATGCATCCGGCAGTGCATTAACTACTCTGCAGTATGCCTTGTATTCATTACCTTTACGATACAGGTAGGAGTACAAAATGTTAGAGGTATTTACAGGAGCTAGCAATCCTTTGTCTGAAGTCACAACAAAATCCTTGATATGTGTTGAACAATCTCTAACTGTGACCTATGGAAAGCGGTGATTTTGAAAGGTAAAACCATTGACAAATTCAAGAACGATGTTAACTATGTTATGCGTGAGTTTGGAACCATGTAACGATAATAATTCAGGTACTGTAAATGGCCTTATGTAATTTTGCGAATTAAATAGGGCGCTATATAAATGCTGTATATCATCATCATCATCATCATCATCATCATCATCATCATTATGATTCAGCTGAGAAACCACTAAAACAAACGGAATGACATTTTAAAGGTTAACAAAAAACGTAACGACATTATAAACATAAAAAGATTGGTGGTTCTTAACATAAAACGTAACGACATTATAAACATAAAAAGATTGGTGGTTCTTAACATAAAACGTGAATGTTGATACTCACAAGTATCATTTCGTCTCTGCTTCACCAACAGTACATACACGGTGCTCCCTGATAAAAGTAAATCATAATTATCCTTAATTACATAGTATAACCGTGCTAAATTAGTATCTTATCAGCTGCAATTTGCGTCTTCCGCACGCATATATGAAACTGTTAATATCACACTTTTTAAGAAACTTAAAGAAAGGTGTTTGGACTAGCGTCGTTTTTCACGTAACCGGTGTACAGTAAGTTTGAAGGAATGAACCGACGAAACCACATATAAATTGTAGTCTGAACCCTTTTTCATTGACAGAAAAAATCATATCAATTTTCAACATCATACATATTTTTAAATTATATTCAAATATTTAATTATGGTCTAGTGATGGCGTTTATAAATATTTTCTATTAATTTAAAAATTATATCTGTTTTAAACATCTGAGAAAATATTTTGAAATTAGATTCAAATATTGAATTATGGTTTATTGATGGCGTATTTATTTATTGATATGCATTTATATTTCAGTCAAAATACCAGTTATTTATTAGATTCGACGAACACTTCAAGCGACCGAGATGATTTTCTGTGGTAAGTACGTCACAATACCGACCTGCAAACAACGACTGGTTTGTGTTTAAAACTTTCCAAAAAGTGTTGGTGGTTTTTTTTTCGAAGGGTTTGGGGACGTTGGTGTTGTAATCCAAGTGTTCTTGTCACTGACATTTTTGAAACATTTTAAATAATATATGTTAGTAGTGGAGGCAATACCAAGAGCAACACTGTATTTTCACTAGTACTTCGGTAATCCGATTGTCTAACGATCCTGTCAGGGTGTTAGTAGATATATTGTCCATTTCCTATTTAAAATGTCCCACTACACAGTCATGTTTACTACAAAGTTGGATAATTATGTCGCACTCCTCTGTCAAT